CCTCCCTGCCAGCACCCCCCAGCCAAAAGCAGCCCCCCAGCAGCCTCCAGCCCAGCCCCAGGCCAAGCTGGCAACAGTGCCCCCAGCACAGCCCCAGGTCCCCTCCACACAGCCTCAGGCCACCCCTCAGCATCAGCAGCAGCTTTTCCTGAAGCAGCAGCTCCTGCAGCAGCAGCAGCAGCAGCAGCAGCAGCAACAGCAGGCTGCCTACTTCCAGCAGCAGCAGCAGATGATGCAGCCACAGCAGGTGGGTGTGTGCACCGGGTTTGTCACATCTCTGTCTGCAGGGCTGCAGCTTTGTGTTCATGGCAGGTTTCCAGTTCTTTTGGGGGGAATGGGTGCAGCTCTGGGCATTTTCCAGAGAGTCCTCCAGTGAGATTTGGTCTGGGTCCAGCACACCTCAAACCTCTCAAGCAGTGGTTGTTTCCCAGTTCCCAGTGATGCAGCAAGGAGCACCCGTGCAGCAGCAGCAGCTGATGCAGAGCTATTACCAGCAGCAGCAGCAGCAGCAGCAGCAGCAGCAGCAGCTGATGGCCCAGCAGGCAGCCATGCAGCAGAAGACCACAGCAGCAGCAGCAGCAGCTCAGCAGAAGCAGCAGCCCCTGGCACCGGCACAGCCCCAGGCCCAGCCCAGCCCAGCACCCCCGGCACAGCCACAGGAGCAGGGGGTGAGACCTTGGGAGAGGGATGGGGCACTGGGACAGGCTGCAAACGCTCCTCTGCCAGCTCCTGTGTACTGGGGACACCTCAGCTGGCTTTTCAGACCCACAGGGCCCAGATCACAGCTGCCAGGGCAGGTTTGGGTTGGGTACTAGGAAAATTTCTTCACCCTGGGGGAATTAACAGTTATCTGGATGTGGCACTTGTGGACGTGGGATAGTGGTGACCTTGGTAGATTTGAAGAAATGTTGGGACTTGATGACCTTAGAGGCCTTTTCCAACCCAAACAATTCTATGGTTCTGGGGCCTAATTAGTAATAACTCAGTTATTACTGAGTCACAGATGTCAGCACTGCCCTTGCTGCCTCAGAGATGTGCAGTTGTTTGGATTTCTCATTCCAGCAGGATGTTGGACTCCAGAATTGTGCTCTGGGTCCACAGAAAGGAGATGAGTAATGGATGAGTAGAAAGCAGATGAGGAGATCTGAGTAGCTGCTTAATGCAGCTTCTCTCCATCCCCTGTCATGTTGCCACAGAAGACACGTGAGAAACTGTCTGAAACATTATTTGTACTTTACACACCAGGGTGGGCACCAGAGCTGCTTTGTATTGCTGCTTGTTTGGAAAGCTTTGCCTGATGTTCAGAGGAAGGCACAAACAGCTTCTTGGTTGTTCCTAGCACTGGGTTAACTTTTTAATAAATATAGTGGGAAGTGGACTTTTCAAAGGAGACTTTTGAAAGCACCATATCTAAAAATAAATCAATCAATCATCCACTTTACTAATCATCTGAATGTGCACCTAAAATAAATGCTCTTTGCTTGATGGAAAATACATCCAAGAGCAGGGAACAGGCAGCTGCCCACAGGGAGGGGCAGGGAGCTGTGCCAGGGGGCCAAAGTGCTCTGCACCCCAAACCATTCCATTATACACAACTGTTCGAGTCCAGGCTGGGGATCACTTTGTGCTGGCTCCTTGTGCCAGTTAATTCCCCTCTCCTTGTTTTCTTGCAAGTGCCACCAGGAGTTGATTTGACCAATAAACTCCATAATCCATGAGCTGGGGCAGCTGTTTGCTCTCTGTCTCAGGGCTCTGCCATGTCCCCTGCCCTGGTCTGGGTGTTGTGTTCCTGCTCTTGTTCCTGCTCTGCTGAGTGACTTGGGGCAGGTCAGTTTGTTGAAGCTGGTGGGAGATTTTTCAGTATGTGCAGACAGGTTTTGAGTGGTGCCCATTATTACCCTGTTCCTTTTAGGGCAGAAGTGCCTCAAATGGAGCATTGAATTATGCCTTATTCCCCTGGTAGTTATTAGCAGGACAGCTCCCCACTGTTTGCCTTCTGCCCCTGGGGTTCAGCACCACGCTGGGCAACTCTCTCCTGTTTCCCTCTCAGGCCTTTCCAAGCCTTTCAGCTGGGTTGGAAAAGGCCTGGGAGCGGGGAGTTCCCAGGCAGGGGAGGTGACATGCACAGCTTGCTGCTCCCTGTATTCCAGTTTTCCTGTTTTAAATCCAGCAGTGATATCTCCCCGACAGACAGATTGTGAAAAATCACACAATCACAAGTGGTGCTGTTGTTTATCTACAAAACCATATTTCAAGTATTTATGGGTTTGTGAGTGTAACACAAGACCAAGGCAGTGGAAAAATAAAATCAGTGTGAGGAAACCCTCTGCAGTTTCCACAGGGTTTGTAGCTGGGCTGTCTTGGCTTACACCTAAACCAAATGTGCCTGGTTTTCTCCTCCACATTTTAATGACAAGTGTTGCTCCCGTGGTCCTTGCTTTCTTTTGTTTTCCTTCCCCTAAGAGGAAGTTTTTTGCACAAGATTTCTGCACAAGACCTCCACCCCTTTAGGCATTTGGCCAGTCACGTTCTGTCACCGTGTCCCTGTGACAAGACTCGTGTGCACTGTGGTCTCAGTTCTTCCCACCTGTGCTCTGGATCTCGGCCTCTCTACCCTTGAGCAGGTTTGAGCCTTTGCCAAGTCCTAATGGAGATTTTACCTCCAGAGCTGCACCACGGAAAGGGGAGACACTCCCTGCCTGTGCAGAAATCCTGAAATACTGCAGAGCAGCAACTCCCCCCTCAGGGTTCCTTTGCCTGTCTGGTTTTTCCCCTCCAGACCGTCCCCGGTCCATGATCAGAATGCTGGGTGTCGCAGCAGAAGCTGTTTTCTGTGGCTGTGACCCAGGACACTGTGCTTTTCTGTGCTTTTCTCCCCTGGCAGGCTCAGGCTCAGCAGCAGCAGCAGCAGGCTCAGGGCACAGCACAGGGGCAGAAGCTGGGCTCGCTCACCCCGCCGTCCTCGCCCAAGGCGCAGCGCGCGGGGCATCGCCGCATCCTCAGCGACGTCACCCACAGCGCCGTGTTCGGCGTGCCCACCAGCAAATCCACCCAGCTGCTGCAGGCTGCAGCTGCCGAGGCCAGCCTCAACAAGTCCAAGTACGTGCCCAGGGCTCTGGGGTGAGGGCTCAGCTCAGCCTCAACAAGTCCAAGTACGTGCCCAGGGCTCTGGGGTGAGGGCTCAGCTCAGCCTCAACAAGTCCAGGTAGTGCCCAGGGACCCCATGTGGGGTGTGGAGTGAGTGCTTGGTCAGGCTCTGGGAGATGTTCTTAATGGAGGTAGGCACAAAACTCTTAAGTGAGTCTTTGTTTAGGGCTTAGCCCTAAACTTTCCAGGAAGTGCTGGAGAATTTGCCCCAAAGTTCTCATGAGTTCTCTGAGCTCACAAAAAGCTTTGGGTTATCAGGGCCTTCTCTGGCTCACAAAAGGCAGTGTCATTTCAGCCACAGCCCTGGTGTGCACTTCATTCTCACTGCTTGACACCAGCACTTCCTGAAGGTTGGACTCGATGGTGTTGGAGATTTAGTGGAGCTCTGGTTCCCTAGGAGTTTTTGCTAGGTCACATTTACAGTGCCTGCAGGCAAGAAGCCTTTCTGTGGGCGCTGCTGTTCTCGGTGGGATGCTGTTTGTAACCCCTGAGATGTGGGTGCTGAGCCTCAGTTCTGCCAGGCTTCCAGCACGGGACTGCAGTAATTTACACTGGGTGTTTTAATTGGGAGGTGATTAGAGTGTTGTGGCTTGGAGCAGCTGATAGTGCTGGCCAGAGGATTTCGGGTGGGTGGTTAATGGCTCTTGTTTGGGATGGTCCCATCCAGATCTGCTTCCACCACGCCCTCGGGCTCACCAAGGACCTCACAGCAGAATGTCTACAACCCTCCTGACATGTCCACGTGGAACCCCTTTGATGATGACAACTTCTCCAAGCTCACAGCTGAGGAGCTGCTGAACAAGGACTTTGCAAAGCTGGGGGATGGTAGGTCCGTGGGGTGCTTCAACACCTGCCTGCTCTGCAGAGGGAAGACACCACGGATTGGGGATGCTTTTGGGCAGGGACTGCTCGGGTTCGCCATTTTATTACAGTCCTCTGGCTAAATCCTTCCAGTTTCTTTCTGTTTGCAGCTCAGGGGTGCCTCAAAGGCAGAGGTTGTAGCTGCTCTGACAGTGCCCCTGCTCAGGTGCCTGTGGAAGCTGCAGTTTAAACTCTGCTGCATCTGCAAGTTGGGATTTGCATGAAGGGACTTAAGTCATTTAGTGGAACAGTGTCCTAAAAATAAAGATAAGTAGCCTACTTTCAGAAGAAAAGTTTTTCCCCTAACTCTTGGTCTGCATTCCAGGGAAAGCTCCAGAAAAGGCAGGCAGTTCCACAGAGAACCTGATCCCGGCTTTCCAGCCCGCTGCGTCTGCAGCCCCGGCGGATGCGTTCGGTGGCTCCTCCTTCACTGCTGGGCCAGGTGAGTCTGGGGACATGGACAGCATGGAATGGCAGCTCCTGCTCAGCTCTGTGAAAGGGAAGGAAAACTGGTACAAACCGAGCTGGGCCTTGGCACTGAGAGCTGCAGGGAGTAGAGCTCCTTGAGGAGAGGAGGGAATGTGCAGAGGGTGCATTCCCGTGTCACACGTGGGTGGCAGAGACAGGACACTGTGTGGAGGCAGACGTGGGGCTTGTGGTGAGGGAGGAAACCGAGCCCCTTGAATTCCCAATGAAGCTTCTTTAGTGTGTAGAAGTTCCATGGAGCTGATAACAGAGTGAAACCTGTCATGTGCAGTGCTGCATCCAGGAGCTCCAAATGCCAGGAGACACAAATGCCACCCCTGGTGACAAATGCACCTGGTTGATGCCTCCCCACAGAAATAAAACAAGTCTTGGTGAGAGGAGTCTGGGAAGAAGCTGAAGGATCCTTTGTGGGGCAGAGTGACAAATCCATAGATGCTTATTTCTATTTATAAGAGGGGATTTAGGGGAGCTTATAACTGAGCTTGGTATGTTGGTTCTTAGCAGAGAATTAAGGAGTGGAAGTCCCTGACACAGGAGTGCTCCTGGGGAGTTGCTTTCCGAGTTTGTCCAGCTGTGAGCAGTTTCTGGTGTTCCATCAGCCTTTGTGGATGATGCTGAGCAGCAGCAGCAGCTCCACACTGAGCTGTGAAGCACCTTCTGCAAAGCCTGAGGGGCGTCTGTGTGCCCTGGGCTCTGTGGTACCGTGTTGCTGTACCATCATCAGTTCTTGCAGTGTCTGACTTAAGAACTCTCCAGTCCTGGGGTTTGGCACAGGAGAAGGTGTTTTGGAAATCTTGGTGCTGGGCTGGGCACTTCCAGCCCTTCTCTTCCTCTCCTCAGAGCCTGTCCCAGACTGGCTGGTGCAGGATGCTGCAGCTTTTATTGCAGACACAGAGGCCCCACACGGGCTGTGCCCTTTGTGAGGCCTTTCACCTTTTGTGCTCCTGTGAGGCAGATAACAACTCTTCCCTGCCAGGAAATATTCTGAGATCTGTGGGTTAAATCGTGTTGGAGAGCTACATGGTAACAGTAGTTTTGTGTGGTTTTTTTATTCTTTTGAAGACTTGGTCAGAGTGTTCCTGTGTGTGGTTGTGTCAGGCCAGAGCCTGTGCCTGTGCTGGGGTTTTGCTCTGTGCTTTCTCCTTTCCTCTTCTCTGTTCACTCTGCCTTTTCTTTTCACTTCCTCTTCTCTCCCAGCTGAAAAAACAAAAGACATTCTGAGTTTGGACTCTAGCCCTCCTCTTCTGACTGTGCCTGATCCTTTCATTCCTCTCCCGCTCTCCGACACGCCAGGTAACCAGGGCTGAGGGGATGGAGGGGGGGCAGACTCCTGGGCTTTGTTTTGTCCTCTTCTGCTTCTGTTTGTAGGCACACCTGAAATCCTGGGCCCTGCCAGGCTCTGCTGGGCTCACTGGCACTGGGGATGGTTTTCATGGCAGAGCCTGGGGTTATCTCATTGTTCCTAATCCCAGAAATGTCGGTGTCTTTAGAGGTTCAGCACTGAAAGCCAAAAGTGTTTGGAGGGAAAGCTGAGAGAGCTGGAGTTGCTCAGTCTGGAGCAGAGAATGCTCCAGGGAGACCTCAGAGCCCCTTCCAGTGCCTAAAGGGGCTCCAGGAGATCTGGGGGCAAGGGATGGAGGGACAGGACGCAGGGAATGGCTCCCAGTGGCAGAGGGCAGGGCTGGATGGAATCTGGGGCAGGAATTGTTCCCTGGCAGGGTGGGCAGGCCCTGGCACCGGTGCCCAGAGCAGCTGGGGCTGCCCCTGGATCCCTGGCAGTGCCCAAGGCCAGGCTGGATGGAGCCTGGGATGGAGGAAGGTGTCCCTGCCCGTGGCAGGGGAGAGGATGAGAAAGGCTTTAAGGTCCTTTCCTATTCTATGAGAAATAATCCCCAGGTAATTAATTACCTGTTCTGACTTCAGCTGTTCTCAAATCATCTCCAACATTGAAATTGTAGGTTTTATTATTAATCTTTTTTTCCTGTAAGAGTCAGTGTTTCTTTGGCTTCCAAGGTCTGTTGCAAATCTGAGCATCTTGTGAAGCACAAAGTTACATGTGACCTTTTCTGATTTGGCAAGATTTTCCAGTGCAGTTGGTGCCATTTCATTTACTTTGCAGTGCTGCTTCTAAGCCTTCTCCTCTGTGCACATTTCTGACTGCAGCAGCCAACACTTTTTAGCACAAGATTATGTAAGTGCTTAGGAGCTTATTTGCAAATCGGTGGGGATATTTGGAAAATGGGAATGTTTTTATCTTGGAGCCTCTCAGCCCTCTGGTGAATGTGTGTGGCAGGTCCCACATCAGTGACCCTGCTCTTGCTGCTCTCCCTGCTGAGCAGCTCCCAGGCTCTGGGTCACTGCTGGTTTGGAGGACCCAAGCTTCAAAATGTGCTGTGGAGGTGGCATCTCTCCATGAAGAGCTGAGCAGTTCAGGAAAAAAAATAAACCTTTTATCCATAACTCTGTGGAACTTGCTTCCTTCTGGTGGTTGCTTAAAGAGCAGAAGAAACATGGTTTAGTCCAAAAGGAATTTTACCCTTAAATGCCCATAAAAGTTTGAGAGGAGAAGCAAAACCTGGAGTCTTTGTTCCCTGTGTGAGCACTGCCAGGAGCTGACCTGGCCAGCCCTACCTTGAAAACAGCCCACAGAAGGCAGCTGACTGCACATTCTCCTTCTTCCACCCCCAAAATGCTGCTGGAAGTGTTGCTTGTCCTGACTGAAGCCACCCAGTCCATTTATTTGAGCTAAAGCTCAGCTGCTTTTTCTGCTTAGCCACAAACCTCCTCCCCTGGGCAACTGGAGCTGCTCAGAGACCTTGGCCTCTCCCACCTTGCAGAGGTGCCAGTGGGTGCTTCAGAGTGTGTCCCTCCTCCTCCTCCTCCCCTGTGGAATGCCTGCCATTCTTAGTGGAATTGTAACTGGTGAGAGGAGCTGGCAAGAGGGATGTAAAAACACGGCAAAACATCTGTTAAAATAAGGGAGAATTAAATATTCATGCTGAAAACGTATTTCCTTGTGTATGTGCAGCAAAGTGAGCCAAGTTGCTCTTAATGAGCTTATTTCAGGCTTCACCACTGACTAATCCTGGGTGAGGGGAGCTCTGTGGGGTCACTCTGACTGATGGAGGAAGGTTTTTATTGTTTTGGGAACAAAATACTCGATGAGATGTTTTTAATCACCATAACTCTACTCCAGGCCCATAAATTCCAAGAAGATATCTGTGTCTGGGTGTTTATAACAACTGTAATAAACAACTGTATTTCTGCTGAGAATTTATTTGTACCAAGATGACACTGAGATAAAGTAATTGTACATAAATTAGGTATGCACAGCAAATCAGTGGGTGTGCAGCAATGGTCTGAGTTTCCATCTTGCAAAGGGGAAACTGCTCATGTTATTGGTGTATTTACTGAGAGGACAGGGTGGTGTTGTGAGGATTTAAAGCAACAAAGCCATCAGACCATGAGAATCCCAACTAAATGGGTGTAAAGAGCATCCAGTGGTCTGTCAGGGCTTTGAGTTTGATTTTAGGGGGAAGAATTTATTGTTTTACAGGTATTTGGGATCTTGAACACACAGCTGAAATTGCTTGATTTTGATCTCTTGAGGAGCCACTGTTAAGTGTTGTCCTGTTACCCTGCACGGTGTTTACAAAGCCCTGTGCATTCAAAGCCTCTATTCCCCTTCTCTTTCTCGTTATGCAAGAAGCAATCCCATTTCACAGCAGCTCCATCAGGAGAATGGAGGTGCAGTTCCTCCCCTGGCCTAGTCCGAGTGCTCTGTGCTGGGTACCATGCAGGGCCTCCTTTAGTCTGCTAACACTTGGTGAGTGAACAGGCAGAAACCTCCCCCAGTGACAGATCTGGTGATTTCCCTCCCACCTGCTGGCCTGGCAGGGTTTTCACAGCCGTGTCTCTCTTTCCCAGCTGGCCCCCGGAGGAGAGGACTGTGCTGTGTGCTCTCCTGAGCTGTGTGCTCTCCTGAGCTGTGTGTGCTGTGCCAGGGCAGCCCTGCAGTGAGTACCAGCCCTGTGTGTGCTGCAGCTGCCCCCCTGCCTCGGGCACGTGCCTCACCCTGGCACAGAGCCCTGCCCTCTGCTCCCTCTTAACTTGCGAGTTTTCAGGAGTTCTTTTTCTTTCTAATAGCCTGGTCTAACCCAAAGCCTCCCCCATCTCTTGACTGGTCTTTTTTTTCCTAACTCTGGTGTTTCTTAAAGTGCTTTCTGTGTATTTGTGGCTGAAGGGGAGTGTGGCCAGCAATAAAATCAGCATGGCAGCAGAGTCTGTGGCAGTGGTGGCTGCAGGTGCAAACTGCCTGACTGTGAACTCCATCAGCTCTGTGCATGTGTTAGAAAAGGGATCTGAAGGAAAGGTCAGCACTTTCTCACTGGGTTGTCCAAAGCTGTGCTTCTCAGCCAGTGCATGGAGTTTGGGCTGTTTGCTTGTCCCAGGATACAAATCCAGAGTTCATTTAATGGCTTCACATCCTTCTTACGTTGGTGCAAGTCAGAGGAGAGGCTCTTGCTGTCATTTCTGGAGGAAGTGATTTGGTTTTCAGGCTCAGAAGCCACCAGCAGCAGCCTCTTGGGGATGCTCCAAGACCCATCAGCTGCAGGCTCTGGCTCTGCTTTTTCTGCAGCAGTTTTGCTTTCTCTGACAGGAAACAATCAGTAATTTCTAACTGTGAGGAACAGGGAACTTGACAAATGTTTCACATTCTGAAAGGCTGCAGTGTGTGGCAGCAAGGGGCTGTGAGGGCACTTTTTAATCCCCCTCTGTGCTTTTAAGCTTAGACACCTTCTAAAAGCTCGCCATGGTTAAACCATCCCTGGCTGCTGCAAACCTGCCCTGGCAGGGCTGAAATGGGGCAAAGCAGAAAACCCAACCAAACATGAAACAGCAGCGATCAGCTCGTCCTGAACTGGGTCAGACTCACTTTCCTGTGGCTGGAAAGCAGCTGGCACGTTTTCCACAGGCTGGCTGAGGAACAGGAGATCTCCAAGAGGCAGCAGCTTCAAGTGGGAGCACAGTGACTGCGTAAAACATTCATTTCCCAGCTGGAACTGAGGTCAAATACCTCTGTCATGGGTTACCTTTTCTTAACCTTGTTTGGGGCTTGTTCATTTGTCTGCACAGGAATGGTCTGGGTTTGTCTGTTGGGTTTGAGGCACTTCATCTCCTTCCCCATTCATCCTCACACCTCCTTGTTTTTGTTCAGCTCCTCAGCCTCACTGAAAGGGGATAAAAGTTCCTTTATCATGCACTGAGGGGTTCAGTGGCTCCCTGGAACAGCACTGGCAGATCAGCAGCAGCACTGGAGGAGGCAGGAGAGGAGATTTTGTGAGACAAGAAACAAAATCAGGCAGAGAACCAGTGACAGCTTTGCATAAAACCATCTGTGCCCTGGGGCAGGAGAGAGAATGAACACGTGGGCAGAACACCACACTTGTTCTCTGAATCTTGTGGTTATAAAAACATGGCTGAGCTCACCAGGCAGTTCTGGGACCTGTCTGGGGCAGTTCCAGGGTGTTCCAGGGAAGATCTGCACTGTTGGAAGCAATTCCAGCCTCCTTAGCCCTGCTCTGGCAGCACTCACACCTCCTGGTGCCCCTTCTCCCAGCCTGTCCCCTCTCTGTGCCACAGGAGCCAGGGCTGGCACCTGGATGCAAATCCAGCCTCTGAAATGGATATTCCTACAGGTGGGAAGAGTTCCTGGATATCAGGGCTGCTGTTCCCATCACATTTGCCTTTCAGTTGACCTTTTCCAGGCCTGTAATGACAGAACTCCTCTTGGACAGGTCTTCAGGTCTCCTTCCCCTCCTGCTTGCTTCAGTTGTTGGCTTTCTCATGGGGAGTAGAATTTGTCCTGCTTTGAATAAGCAGTTCCAAAGCCATTAGACTGTTTTATTATTTATACTGGGCAATAGAAAAGGATGGATATTATTCCCACTTATGCAGAAGTGTAACTCTGGTGTTCTCAGCATGTCTTATCCAGCAGGATTCCTGTGCTTTTGTGCAGTTGTGAGCAGGGTTTCTTTGGATAATAAATAATAACACCAACCTGTGAACTCAAAAATTAAAATATAGCTGTAACAGTTGGATAACATTCTAATGTTAGATTGTAAATGGAATCATTTCAATGAGTTGGAGTGGCCAGATTTGTCCATGTGGAGGAAATTTTATCAGAGCTGTTCCTCTGCAGGTGATTAGTACTTCTAGTAAATCCTGAAATTATTCTTTACCTCTTCTTGTTCTGGGAAGCAACCCCTGTGAAAGCTAAATAATTAATCTCATTTCTGCAGATCTGGTTTGTGATTGGGGAATCACTCATCCACCAGATGAATAATTGAGATTAACTTCTTGCCCAGGCTGTCTGTGAGGCTAACGGGAAGCTGAGGAGCTGTGCTGCTGGGAGTGACACTGTGATGTGAAAGCTGCTGTAAATTGTGAGCCCAGGGCAGGCTCTGTGAGCCCAGGGCAGGCTCTGCTGCAGGGTCTCAGAGCTGCTCCTGCTCCTGGGGCTGAGCTCCTTCCTCAGGCTCTCAGCTCTTCTGTCTCCTCCTTACACAAACACTGCCAAAGATTCCAGCACAGGGAAGGCAGGGAGGGCAAGATTGCTTCTTAAATGTGGGGTTCAGCATATTAAACTTTAATAATAAACTTCTGTGTGGCAGTGCCAGAGCTGTGGGCTGTTCCTCAGTGGCTCCTTGGGGACAGGAGCCCACGCTGGGTGAGGATGTCCTCACCTCTCTTCTGTGGCCTCTGATGCCTCTGAGTGATTCTGGGGGACAAACTTCACAGCAGGCCCTGTTGTGATAGGACAAGGGATGATTAAACTGGAGGAGGGTGGGTTTTAGATTAAAGACACAATCTCTTTGTGATGAGGCTGGTGAGGCTCTGGCACAGGTTGCTCAGAGGAGCCGTGGCTGCTCCACCTCTGGAAGTGTCAAAGGCCAGGTTGGACAGGGCTTGGAGCAAGCTGGGTTTGTGGAAGGTGTCCCTGCCTGTGGCAGGGGTGGGATGAGCTTTGGAAGGTCCTTTGCAGCCCAGGCCATTCTGTGGGTTCTGTTCTGGAGCCGTTTGTACACCCCGTGGTGCAGACAATCCTCGGGCTCACGGCGAGCCGTGAACTGAGCACCCGATTAACGTTGTCTTTTTCTTTCTTTTGCTTTTTCTCTCTGTTGCCTCCCTCCCTCCTTTTCCTGCTTGCCCCAGAAAAACTGATTGAGGGACTCAAATCTCCTGAGCCTGCACTCCTGCTCCCCGAGCTCCTGCCTCTGGCTGACCCCTTCGGCAGCACGTCAGACGCTGTCAATGGTAACGCCCCAGCCCTGTCCCCTCCGTGCCACACGCATGTCCTGCCCTGCATGGCCAGCCCTGGCTCCCAGAACAGCCCCTGCTGCTGGGGGACAGCCTCAGGGAGGTGGTGGATGGTGCTGAGACACATCTGCCTTTTCTCTGTGAGATGGGCACTGAGGGTTTGGTGTCTGTCCCTGGACTCCAGGTGATCTGGCAGCAGTGACGTGGCACAGCCGTGCCCGTGGTGTTCTCTTGGTAGAAGAATGTTAATTACTGATCGAGGAAAATGGCAAAATCACCTTTATTTCTGGCCAAGATTTTGTGTTTAACCACGGCCCGGGCACTGAGCTGGTCTGTCTCCATGGATCAGCAGGATGAGGAGGAAGAACAGCATTCCCTGGACCTGGGGAGTGCTGGGAATAAACGTGCCAGGCTGCTGTGAGCCTGGATGCAGCAGGGTCAGGGCTTTGGAGTGCTGCAGAATTGTTTTTATCCACTTGCCAGGTGCAGACACTGATTGCAGGCTGCAGGTTGTTGTCACCAGCTGCTCCTGTGGGTGGGTGTGACCTGTGGCTCTCATAGAAAGGAAGGACATGACTACCTGTAATAGTAAAACTTCTTCTGCTTTTGCAGTTTCTGGCAGTTGTCTGAATTTTAATGATCTGAATGCCAGGGGAGTCCAATGGTCACTGTTTTCCTTTTGCTGGACGAGGATCTTGTGGATATTTTCTTTCTGTTCAGCTGCAGGGCAGGTGTTAGTGACCTGCTGTTCCACCTTCTGGGCATTTCAAATTGGGCTTGTACAAATTAAAATAAAGAAAAGGGCTCAAAACCAAACAAACCCTTGAGCTGACACTTACAGGGTCAGTACAAGATTCAGACAACTCCTGCCTCAGTTCCTCCTTCTCTTTTCCTTGCAAACTAACCTCTGGCTTCTCCTGTGCTGTTGTGCCCCTGTGGAAAGGAAAAGCTGACGCAGCAGTGGAGAGCCTGATCCCGGGGCTGGAGGCGCCGCTGCCCCAGCGCCTCGTGTCCCAGAGCGAGTCGGTGGCCTCCAACAGAACAGGTTGGTGAGGCAGGAGGGGCTGGGGGGCTCTGAGCACCAGAGAGCTCTGGCTGCTCCCACAGGGGCTGCTCTGCCACTGCTGGCACTGGGGCCTTGCTCAGGGAGTGCTCTGTGCTTCTCACCTCCTTGGGAGGAACGAGAAGGTTCTTCCCACTCCGAGGGTGCTGGCACTCCCCAGGGGATGGGCACGGCCCCAGGGCTGCCAGAGCTCCAGCAGGGTTTGGACACTGCTCCCAGGGCTGGGATTTTGGGGTGTGTGTGCAGGGCCAGGAGCTGGGCTCTGATCCCTGTGGGTCCCTTCCCACTCAGCAGAATCCGTGATTCCATGGCCCAGTGTTCCTTGAGCCCACCATCAGACCCGTAGGTGCTGCTGCACGGCTCCCATGAAGTGGTTTAGAACTCGGGGGCAGTCACTGGTTTGTCCCAGGGGGGCAAGAAGAGACTCCTGGCCCTTTCTCATTGTGCAGCCTTGACTGGGCCACTTCCCACAGCAGCTGGACTCGGCTCTTCTCAGAGGAGCCTGGTGGGACTGCCCTGGGGTGGGAGCTCCCCTCTCTGCAGAGCTCCCACTTTAACCTGGCTCTGTGGGACTCCTTTGTTCAGCTTCAGAGAGACAGAGCCCTGCTGGGACTCTCTGCCCTCACTGAGAGCAGTGGAATCTCTTCCACCACAAGAAATGGCAGCGTTTGTGCTGGTTCTGCACCAAAGCTGTGCTCATCCCTGCGTGAGGGTGAAGGGGAATGTGGGAACCTGAGCTTAACACTCTTTGTGTCCTGTTCAATGCCACCCTGGGATGCTCACCTGGATCCAGACTCTCTCACTGGGGAAGACTCTCTGCTTGACTGTTCTCTGCTCTCTAACCCTGCTGCTGACCTCCTGGATGAGTTTGCTCCCGTAGCTTTTGCAGCTCAGCCTCACAAAGGTAAACTGGCCCTCTTGCCCCTGGCCTGGAGCTGACATGAAGCTGCTCCTGGTTTACAGGAACAGCTGTGGTGTCACAGCAAACATGACACAGAATCTGAGGGGGAAGGCCAGGACTTCAGGGCAGTTCATTGCCTTGAAAGAGGGGCCCAGAGCTGATTCCTGGGTGCTTTGCTCACTTGTGAGTATCCCTATGGCAGCAGAAATGCTCTGGCCTCGGAGGAATTGCTGCAAAAACAGTCTGCAATAAATTTTTACACTTGGTGGCACTTCAGAATGAGTTTGTGCTGCCCATGGGGCTTTTGGGTTCAACAGGCAGTTGTTGCAGTTGCTCAGTGCTGTAATAACCTCCTGTGGCACTTTGCTTTGCACTGAAATGTGTGTGGAGCAGTTACTGGCACCTGGGCTCTGAGCTGATCCTTCAGCCCTGCCACTGCTGCCTTCCCTGGCTCTGGAATTGGTGCTGAGCCTTCAGGGTCCCTGAATCTGCATTTGCTGAGTTCAGCACCAGGTTCTGTGTGTGTGAGAGCAGCGAGGATGCTTCTGCTTGGGGTGGCACAAGTCACTGAGCCGAGCTCCAGGGCTTTGGAGGGGCTGTCCCTGTCCTCAGGGCTGTCCCCAGCTGGGCAGTGCCCTGAGCAGCCTCTGGAGCTGCAGAAATGGGAGTGGGATCCTTGCAGGAGCTCCCAGGGTGTTGGGAAGAGGCACAGGTAAAACACTGGTGATGGTGGCAGTTCCTGTTCAGATAAACCTTTGTGTGTTTGGCACTTTGCACTGCCCTCCCACAGCATTTGGGGGTTGTTTTCCCTGGCTCTGATCCTCCAGAGCACAGAGCAGTGCCACGAGCACTTTCTTGGCTCATCTCTCCCCAAACCTATTAAATCCTGGTCAGCTTTAGGTAGAAATCTCTAATTCCCACCAGGAGTCAGACCAGAATGTTCCTCTTCACAGGAACTGTCAGGTTGATGTGTCCTTGCTGGGCTCTCAGAAATCCTTCATGCAGAGTTGAGGAACAGATCTGGGAGGGTATTTGAGTGTCTGAAGGAACAAGGAGTGATGTGAGAGGCTCTGAGGGTACATAATTGCCTGATGAGGTGGATAAATCATCTCATCTCTGGAGATGGGTGAAAGTGCCTCCCACCAAGTGTTGAAGTGCAGCTGATGTGGTTTGAAATCAATGGAATTATCTCCCAGAACTGCCCTAGGGGCCTCTGGAAAATCTCTCACAGCATCTGGGTGTGATGTCCAGACTTCCAGGCAGGTAAATTTGGGAATCTGACTTCATGTTGCCCTTGTTTTATTGCTGCCTGTGAAAGGTCAGGGTTTTGTCTCATGTAGATGACTGGAATTTCTTCTGTGGTTTTTTTCTTTCCCCCCAGCCCTTTTCCTCTCCCTGTGCATGAGAGCTGGGAGCCAGAGAGCCAGACTGAGCTCTCACACCATGCTCATGACAAAGAACACCTTCAGTCCTTGGGAGCTTACCCCAGGCCTCTGCCACGGCTTCCAACTGTCCAGCTGAGCCTTCAGACTGGTCAGGTTTTGTTCTGGGTCTTGTGACTTGGCTTGCTTGGTTTGGTTTGATCCCTTCCACTTCTGTATTTAATTGTCTCTCTTCTTTCCTACCCAAACTTACCAATTTTATTTCACCTTTTAAATAAAACTCCTGCTTCTAAATGCTGTCTCTGAAAACATGAAGATGTTCTAACACTTCCTGGCAATTCTAACCAGCCTCTCTGCTGTCTTTGCTTCTTTACCCTTATTTCTCTTCTATGCTGCAGAAGATACTAACCTGATATCAGGCTTTGATGCTCCTGAGGGCTCTGAGAAAGTGACAGAAGATGAGTTTGACCCAATTCCAGTGTTGATATCCAAAAATTCACAAGGTAAGCCAGGATGTGAGAGTGAAAAAGGGAAGGAAAAAAGGCAAACAGTGAATATATAAATCAGTTTTGGGTGGTGCTGCAGGACATGTGACTAGTTCAAGTCCTGAGCTGTGAAATACCATCAGTGTGGTGTGAGATACCTTGGCCTTGAAATTCCTGTAGATTCTCTGCTTGGGAGATTTCCATGTCCCAGACCAGCCATGCAATATTTGAGTTCCCATGGGGTGATTTCTCCATTTCTTCTGCCTGCCAGAAGGGCACAGAGCCCTCAGTGACTGAGTGCAGTGAGAGCTGTGTCCTCCCCTTCTGACTGCCCAAGCCTTTGGGCTTTTAGGTGAGCTTGGCATGAGGCACAAGAAAGAATAATAATAATAATAATAATAATAATAATAATAATAATAATAATAATAATAATAATAATAATAATAATAATAATAATAATCCTCTGTAGCTCAAAAGTCCTGCTGGAAGTGAGGCTTTTTCACTTCTGGTTGGTGTCTTTGAAAGGTGGGACTGAGTGTGAGGAGTTTGGTCCATGTCCCCACCTCTTCAGAGGAGCTCTGAGCAGGCAGTGACTGGGCAGCTGCTCATTTTCATCATTCTGGCCCCAGATCCCCTTGAGGAGATCTTTGCCAGCAGCCTCAGCCCCACGGGGGTTTGAGGAACCTGCAGCACTGTTGGATGAACAGCAGCAATTGTGCTGAGCTCTTCAGGGACAGCAGCAGGCAGTGTTTCACACCTGGCCAGTGAAGGATCAGTGAGCTGAGTTCCCTCTCTGCAGTCACCCCATTGAAAGGATTTTTTGATGTACTTGTGGAGGTTTAAAGACAAATCCAGGACATTTTTTGGGTTTTTTATAAAAGGTTTTTTTTTTCTTTTTTTCAATTTGGTCACAGAACCTTTTGGCTTCCCAAACTCCCACTTTTGGTCACAGCAGGAATGTGCTGAACCCCTGCTCTGCACTAGTCTTGGCTTTCAGAGGCTGACACTCCTTAAAACAGTTCAGACATTACAAACTCCTGCTGGAAGTCAGAGATTTCTGCCAGGATAGGCCAGCTTGAGTCCAGGGGGTCTTTCAGGTCCTTTCCAGCCCAAACCATTCTGTGGTTCTGTCCTTTAATACCCAAGTTCCAGGTACAGAAGGTCCCACAACAGCCCAGCTCTGCTGGAAGCAGCTCACAGCACCCAAAGATGCTCCTAAAATAGCAACCAGATTTCAAGATTTAAAATCTTGACCTGTCCTTTCTGTGGGCTGTGGGAGTCCTTGAATTGCTTTCGAGATCCCTTATTAAGGACAGGGTTCTGGTTAAATCTGGTTTGTTGGGATTTGTTGGCTGCTGTGCTGGTTTGGTCTGGGGGGAGAGGGTGGAAGAGCGAGCAGGGGATTCATTGCTGTCATGGTACAAAAAATGAGAAGAGCTTGAGCAAATTTTCTGTTTTGCTTTGACTTTTTTCTTTCTTTCTTGCTCTTGAACTTCTGAAACTGTCGCGTGTGTGTGTGTGTCTTGCTCAATACTGAATTCCTATCTCTCACACTTTCAGGTGGGCATTCTAGAAACAACAGTGGAAGCTCTGAGTCCAGTCTTCCCAACATAGCCAGGTCTTTGCTGCTGGTGGATCAGCTCATAGACCTGTAGCAGTGACACAGTAGCAGAAGCAGTTTCTGTAACGTACCCAAACCTCCGGTCTCATTGCCAGAAGAGTTTCCTTCCGTTGTGCTTCTTTGGGGCTTTGCTTTTTTCTTTTTTTCTTTCTGATTCCTTTAATTAAGAGAAAAATCTGCCGACAGGAAAGAGCCAGCCACCTCTGTCCCTGGCTTCCCGTGGCCTGGGGAGGATTGTGGCTGGCTTCTCCAGGTTCTGTCTGAGGCTGGTGAAGCTCCTGTGCCCTGTGCCATGTCCAGGGGAGCAGCTGGAGATCCCTCCTGGCCCTGCTCAGGGAGCTGGGGCTGCTCTGTGACCCTGCCCCATCTCCTCTCCCCGAGCAGGGCGAGAGCAGCACAGCCCAGGCTCTGCTCCCTTTCCCCAGGGCTGGGCAGGAGCAGGGCCAGGTGTCAGGGGCAGGGACTTGCCCCAGCTGCAGGACACGGGCCAGCAGAGCTGGTGGCTCTGAGTTGCTTCAGAGGAGGAGGAAGCCCCGAGTTCCCGGCCGTACTCTGGTCATGGGGCACATGAAGAGTTTTCCAGCTGCCCCCAGCTCGTGGTTTGCTGTTTAACAACCCTGCTGGGAACAAACTGCGCTTCCTGGGGGAGGGAAAACCAGAGAAAAGAAAAAAGGTAAAAAACCAGATTGTTAAAGCTGCAGAAATGACCCTAAGTGAAGCGTGACAAGGTTTTGAACCAAATCCATGTGAGTATGGCTGTGGCTGGTGTTTCACTGACCTTTCTTTGGGTGAAAAGGGCGCTGTGGCAACAGCAGATGTATTTTCTGTGACTTCTTTTCTGTGTTTGACTGGAAGAAAATCCCCTCAACCTGATGTAAATTGTGTATGAAACAAATTGTCCTACGGCTGTTTGTCTATTTTTAATCCTGGTTTTAGTCAAGCATCTGGTATCTGTTCTGGGTTCTCCATTTTCTCTTGTAACTGCTATAGTGCACCCCAGTTCAGTATGGAGCCATTGTTTCAGTAGACCAAGATCCCTGTGGGCCTTTCTGCACCCCAGTCTCTCTGTGAACACGCATGCACTCGGTTCAGGGGGTTCCAATCAGTGCTGCTACAACTCCGTGGGTTCTCCCTTCTCTTTCCCCCCTCACACGCTCGGTTTGTCGATAGCTGGACACGCTCACCTCGTTCTCCTTGGCTTCCCATGAAATCCAGAATTTCTATCTCGTATTTGAAAGCCCTCTGTGAGCAGAAGGACTCTTCCTCTGTAGTGGAATTCTCCCCAGCTTCCTGCTCCCCGTGTTTGTGTTTGTAGCTGTATTAGTGACAGTGCGAAAGTGCGAGCGACTGAATGTGTCTGTGCCGACCTCGCTGGGAAGGGAAGTGCCCCGAGTTTGTGACTCCTCCTTTCCTCTCTCCATCTCCTCCTCCCCACCCCAACACCTAGTTTAACAAATTCTGTACATAGAGCTCCCATCGGTTGTGTCTCTACATTACTCTTCTTTTAAAACCTACACTTATTAATAAAAGTATTGCTTAAGTGTGTTGTATCATTACATGTGTATACTGCACTTTCCAAGAGAAGCTTTACATGAGAACTATGGAAATGACCTTAGTAAAATTGTGGATAGAACTTTATTATTTTTTTGTTTTATATTCCTAAAGCACAGGCAAGCTGGACTGGAAAACATGAAGACGCTATAGATAGAAAGTTATTGTATAGTCAGATACTGAGATTATATGAAAAGAGAATGGATTTTAAAAAAGTAACCATCTACTGTATATTAGAAACAAAGATTTCTGTGAATTAAAGTACTTTTAAAGAATGTTTAAGATTTTAAATCTAATGGCGCTTGTTCAAGGGTTCTGGAAAAAATGACAAATGCACTGGGTTGTTAATAATGCTATTAAATAAGCAGATGTGAATGTTTATTTTATTGCTTTTTCAAGTAGCTGTTCATGGGTGTGGGTGGAAATACGAGATTTTAGGTCTGTTCTTAGACCTCCTTCATCAGGAAATATTCACCAGGTGTTTGCAGAGCGAATGGAAATGAGAGATGAGTGGAGATTGGGGATTTGTTTTAAACTCTGCAGATCCTGTGAACGTCCCACGGGCTCTGGGTCAGTGCTGGTGCAGAACTGAGGAGTTTGTGTGAAAGCTCTGAGGGCACAGAGTGAACTCCCGTGGGACGTGTTTGGTGCCTGGCATTCCCCTGAGGGGCTGAGGATCGGTGTTTTGTAGCTGGTTTGGAGCCAGGGGAGGTGTTGGTGCCCCTCTGAAGGGCTCTGGGGTCAGGAGGTGTCTGGTGGAACCCCAGCAGGGCCGTTGTGCCGTGCCCTGAGCTGTGCCCTCGTGCTGGGGCTGCTGCCATCGCCTGTGCTGGGTGCTGCAGACACAACCACAGCACGTGGAGCAATCTCCCTTCCACTCAGCCTTGTGCTTCGGGTGCAGGAACAAGCTCTGGGTTTGGCAAAGGTTCAGAGGAATAGTTGGAATTTTGGTGTTGGCTCTTGCTTCCTCTCAGGGGCTCAGGTTGGGAAGGGCCTTTGGAAACCTCCTTGTTGGTCTTCAGGCAGCTGAGCACAAATTCCATCAGCCACCCTGTTTCTGACAATGTCCACTGTGTTGGGAGCAAACACTGTGTTTTCTGTCCCAGAACAGAAGGGGCAGCCTCCTGGGTTTGGGCTGTCCAGGTCTTCTCAGGATTGTTCTGGGGCCATCCCTGCTGTGGAATTGGGATTGTTCTGGGGACATCCCTGCTGTGGGGCTGGGATTGTTCTGGGGCCATCCCTGCTGTGGGGCTGCTGCTCCTGCCCAGCACAGGAGTGGTTTTTGTGCCCTTGTGTTTTTTGGGGAGGGTCTGTGCCCTGAACAGGACTCGTGTGACCTCTGGCTGGGGCATGGCACAGCTGAGGGGAGCTGGAGGATGCTCTTGGTGTGCAGGGTCAGAGTTCCTGAGCTGCTGGGATGTGGGACGTGGGTTGGTGTGTGGAATTCCTGCCTGGTGCAGTTGGCTGTACAAATGTGCCAGAGGTGCAGCATTAAATTCCTTCTCCTCTGGAACTGAGGGCTCTGGATCTGCCCCCAGGTCTCTCACTTTGAGCAGAAACAATCCTGCAAATTGTGCAGTGCCACAGGTGTCCCTGACCCCTGGTGCTGGGCTGTGTGTGGGGGTGGTTCTGTATTGCTTTTTAATGAGATTGCTTCCAGAAGTTGGAACAGTTTGCTTCTAGGAACTGGAATACAAGGAAAATCTCTACAGCGCAAGAATGAAGGAGTGATAAATGTTTTTACCCCTTTAAAATTCTAAAGTAGTAATTCTGCACACTGGTAACAGCTCCCTGCTCCTGGATGTTGAGTCCTGCCTGACTTGGCCTTGATGAAACCAGGAGTTTCCTGGTAAAAGAATAGCTTTAGACTCCAGGAATTTCTCTGTCTCCCCTGACCTTTGTTTTGGGCTGTGCTCCAGAGGTGAGATCCTCACCATTGTGGTGGCTGTTCTGCCTCTTGTAATAGGGAATAAATATTTTCCAGTTTTCCTCTTGGTTATTTCAGTACTCTGCCACTTCAGGGCAGTGTTTTCCTTGGGGGAGCTGCAGGTGCCAGGGCTGTCACCTGGGGTAAAGCTCTTTCAGGTTTCTCTCTGAATACCTGCAGAGTGTGTTCTGGGCCAGCCTGAGTCTCAGAAGGTCCCAGTGACCCCTGGCCAGTGTGGGACCACACTCCTGGGACCCCAGAGTGGCACCTGAGGGAAAACATGGGCTGCAGGAGACAGAGAGGGCACTTCTGTAGAGTAACTGATCAAATGTTCCATATCTGCACTGTCCTTATTTAGCAGTGTCATGTACCCAGCTGGAGTTTCCCAATAAATAAATGCTGGTTTTGATGCCTAATGAACGGCTGCTGTGTCTTTACTCGTGAGCAGTGCCAGAGAAGGGGATAATTTGTGTATCCATGGATGTGGTGGAGAAGCAGTGCCTGAGGGCTGTGATGGGAGTGCAAACATGAACAGTTCACCTGGGCAGGGTTCCCTGGGCGAGGTTCTGTCTCTGCAGGGTGTGTTGGTGGTGCATTGCTCACCCTGGGTACCAAGCAGCCTCCTCGCCCTCCTTGTTCTTCCTGCAATTCCTCCTGTTTTAGTTTTCATGTGATTTTTCTCCTATCCTCTTGCTAACGAGTCCAATGACACACTTCTAACCTGCCTGTAGTTCTGTGAAGGTAAGAAATCTTCTGTTTTGTCTGTGTGAGTCCTAAGGCAAGCCCAGCCTCCTGGTGGGCTCTTGGAGCTGGAGAAGGGCAGGACATCCTCTCCTTGCCCTGCCTTGTTGTGCTAATGCAGAAACAAGCCAGGTCATTGGAGTTACCATCCTCGATTTGAAGTCATGGTATGGAGTGTTCAAAAACCATTTGTCTGGCAGTGGTTAAAAAGAATAGCTGCTACTAAAATACCTGCTGCTTAGGATTTACTGAAAAGCTGTAGGCTGACCTTCAGTCTTTGAAACGAGCCTGTTATTTCAGCAGGTCCTGGGGCGTCCCCACGTATTTCACAAAGCAATTCCACGCATCTGTGGGCTGGCCCACAGGAGGAGAGGCTGCTCCAGTGCAGGATGGAATGACAGAAGCTGTGTGTCTGTCTGTCTGTCTGCTGGAGCTCCCCTCGGGCGGCAGCGCTGGGAAGGGGAGCGCTCTGCGCTGTCACGCTGTGACGGCTGGGTGGGACAGGGAGCTGTGGGATGGTGTGAGGATGCTGTGCGTGCCCATGCCTGTGTCACACATCTCCCATCCTCCGAGCAGTGGAACCCGTGGTGTCCCTGTGCCGCAAACACTTTCCCTGGCATTATTTTCTCATGGATTTGCCCTCCCTCTCCTGCCCATTTTCCATGCATGGTGGTGGTTTCCATCTGGGCAGTGTGACGTTCTTGTGGACCTTGCGTTGTGCTGACCGAGGAGGTGGAGCTGGTTCAGTAACTCTCTTCTCTTGTGTTTGTAGGTCTTCAGAGGGATCCGGGCCCCTTCCCAGCCGTAGCTCTTGAGCTCTGTAAAGGAGATTCTGGCACTGATGGACTCACTTTGTACAAGGCTCAGCCCGAGATGCTGGAGGTGAAAGTGCAGCACAACTCAGAGTCAGAGTACTTGGCCAGGGATGGTCCTTCAAGCAACAGCTCCTTCTATAGCAGCGAAGGGGAGGGCACAGACCATGAGGGAGATATTCTGGATTGCAGCGGCTCCAGGCCTTTACTGATGGATTCGGAAGAGGAGGAGGAGACGGGCAAGCTGTGCCCAGGGTTCCTGCAGCCGCTGCCCAGGCACGAGGCCTCCAAGGAAGATGTCCAGTCGCAGGCCCGAGCAGGGGAGATGCTGTTCCCGGCTTTCCACAGCGGGGAGGTTTTTAACGAGCCCGATGTGTTCGCCACGGCTCCTTTCCGAAGCTCCAGGAAGGTGCCCGATGAAGTGGATGTCTTTACCAAAGCTCCTTTTATCTGTAAGGGCAGCGTGGCTCTGCGACATCCAGAGGAAGCAGATGTGTTTCTGAGAGCCCCTTTCACCAAGAAGAAGAGCATGGAGGAGTTGACTTGCCACAAGGAGCCGTTCCCAGCACCCGTTTTCCCGAGCCCAGGGGGCGATGGCCGAGCCCAGCCCGTGTTCCCGTGCCTGGATTCAGCAGCACACGGCTCCGTGGGCCCGCCGAGAGCTCCGTATCCTCCTGCTGGCTTTGCTCAGCCGGGCAGCGTCCATCCCTGCTCCTCCAGAGCCGTGGAGGCCCAGGAGAGCGTCCCTGCAGCGCTGCCGGAGCAGGGCGACGCGGCCGGCGAGAGGAGCCACGGCCACGCGCTGGGCCTGGACGCCGCGCTGGGCTCCGTGGCCAACAAACCTTTCCGTCCTCAGTCCCTGTCCAAGTATTCCCGGCACTACAGCCCTGAGGATGGGCCAGGCCTGGAGGCCAGGCCCATAGCTGCTCACAAAGTGGTGTCTCACAGCAGCAGACAGGCCATAGCGGGCTCTGTCTCTGTTGTCCCGCTGTCTTCCAGGACTACGGAGCTGCCTGGTGCAGATCCCTTCGCCTCGGCGCCCTTCCCTTCCAAAGCAGCAAAGCAGAAGCCTTAACGTGCCGGGAGCTGGAGGCTGTGCTGCCTGCAGGACAGCCTTGTGCAGGACCTCAAACCTCTCAGCTCAACTGGATGGCATAGCAATATATACATATACATATATATATATGTGTGTGTATATATATACATAAAATAATTATTATTTTTGGTCAGAACTCTATTTGCAGTGATATATAGCTGAACCATTTAAGTTATGTTTGTCCCAATGCCTGGCTCTCAGGATCCTTGTATCCTTTCCAGTTGCTTCTCACCTTCCTCCTCTCACTGTCTTCCCTCCATTTAGTTCTTTTTTCAGTTGCTTTTCTCAAACCAGCAGTATTCCATATTTTCTGCTCCTGGGTGGAGGAATGCACTACAAGATGAATTAAAAGGTTTATTAATTACAGAGCGAGTCAAGCAGGACTTGCTGATGCTCTGGAAAGCAGATGATTTCAGAGGTTAGAGAGGTTAAAGGGTTGTTGTGATTCTTGCTGTCAGTGATATTTGTGCTGCTCAGCAGCCCTGGTCCAGCTGTGCTGCTGGGTTTGTGCCCTGGCTGTGGTGCCAGCGTGGGCAGTGCTGGTGAGAGCAGAGCCAGGGCAGCAGCACAGCTTTGCTGCCCCAGGGCTGGGGCCAGGGGCAGGGAAGGACTCGGTGCTGTGATCCCAGCAAAGCAATCAGGCTCTTTCTGTTGCTGGAAAATCAAATGGTCACGCAAACAATTCAGCAGAGCTTTCACTTTTACACAGTGAAATTACAGTGTATTTCCTGTCTGGTCTATGCTGAGGTGTAGGACCTGGAAATGTGCTGATGGTGAAGGAGAGATGTGTATTCACAGTATTAATTAATTAGTATAAATGAATCAGAGCGCTGCCCTCGGTGCCCTGCCAGCGCTCTCGCCTCCTCTCGCTGCAGAACCCCCAGTTCCTCTGTCCCATTCCCAGCTGCTCACTGAGGTTCCTTTCCTGTCCAGGTGCTCCCTGTGCCTGTCCCGGTCCCTGCTCCTGCTCTGATGGATCTCTGCTCGTTCCCCACTCCTGCCTCAGCCACCAGAAGTGCAGGAGCAGCAAAATCCCTCCAACAACATTTCTAGTGTTAAACAACCCAGGCATTCCGATACTCCTGGCTGGGATGTGCAGCAGAAATAATTTCAGCCACACACAGCCCGGCTGTGCAGGGGAAATCATTCCATGACACATGAGTTTGATCAGATTTTTCACATATTTTGTACAGTCAGAACCCCATAGAAATTCACTGGTTGAATGTTCATTGCTTCCAGGTTACGTAGCTCATTTCATTTCCTGTTGGTTAGAGATCTCTTTGCCTCTGGTGTTCAATAGATCCTCATTCTTTCCCAGGCCATGCTGGAGTTGTTTGATGTTCCCTTAATGGCTGCAACCTTTTGTTATCTCCTTAATTCCCAATCTGCTGAGGCATTAAACTCATCAGGCCTCACCTGCTGGGACAATGGCTTGGAGAGAAACCTCAGCTGCTCTGTTTTCCTCTTCCCTTAACTCAGTTCCCCTCCAGAATATCTCCAGCTGCAAGAGATGAGCCAAGAGTTCTGCTGGATGTGGGGAAAAGCCTGGGCTGAGGTGTTGGAGCTGTGGGTGGGGAGGGAGAGCCCTGGAATGAGGGAGGCCAGGCTGGCTCCCAGTTGCTGGTGAACAGTGAGCCCAGGTCAGGGGGGCTCCTGGAGCTGGGACCCTCCTGCCCTGCATTCACAGTTCAATATTAACAATATTATATAACAATATAAATATTGGTGCTTTCTGTCCTCCACCACCACCTCCTGAAAACAGAAGTACTGTAAAGAAGCTTCTGGGTTTCCCCTGAGATGTTTCTTCAGCAAAGCTGATGCTGTTACTATGTTTTGTTGTTTCATTTTTTGTTTAAATATACATCCAAAAGTTGTTTTTTGTTTTAAATATATGTTCCCCCAAGTGAGTTGTTGCTGGATAGAATCGGTGAGAGGCACGGAGAATGACTGAGAGCAAACTGTGAATTGAAGGAGAGTGAGTGTGAGAGCCCCACAAGTCTGTGCCACAGCCACCCTGAGCCAGGAGCTGCGCCTGAGCTCTGCAATTCCCTCGGGAGCTGCTGGGAGCGAGGCCAGGCCTTGGTGCTGTGGGATGAGCCTGTGGAACAGGAGATGGAGTGAGCAGCTGCCCTGTGTAAACCATTGCTGTTACCTCTGCTCACTGGTCCTCCTTCCTTCTCTTCATTTTTACTTGAAAAGCTGTTTCAGAGCAATTGAGTGAGTTCTGTCAGTGCCACGTCCAGGTCCCACGGAACTGATGCTGGAGGAGCATTTTCCTGTCCCTTCACACCTGGAGAAAGGGAAGGTGCACTGAGGTGTGCAGGCTCCACTCCAGCCCTGCTCGGTTTAGCTCAGGCTGAATTTCCAGCTGGCGTTTCGGCAGCTTTTCTGTCCTTCAGGCACTTTACAGGAAGAGCAGGATAACTGTCCCCCAGAACTCATGATCCTGCCAGACACATCCGGGGCTGAAACAGTTTTAAATCTCTTCTGGGGGTGGAGGCAGCTCATTTGTATCTTTGCATGTGACTCATAAAGTAATGGCATTTCTGGTTATGGGCAGAAAACTCAATTTCAATGCCTGTTACTCTAACACTTCTCTCATTTCCAGCCTGTGTTCCCCCTAATCCTGCACTGCCGCAGCCTCAGCGTGATGAGTTGGAAGTGGAAATTTCATTTCCACAGCCTCTGAAGCTTACTGTTTTAATGAATAGGGAAGAATCATGCTAATTATTTGCCACACAATCAGTGATCTTAATGAAGTAAGATTTACACAGTCTTATACACAATGGGGTGTTTTGAAATCAGTTTTCTGAAAAGAACAACTGCTTTCATGTCTCTCGTAATGCTGGAGGAAAAGGTGTTCACTGCCCTGGGTCCTCAGGCCCGGAGCGCTGTCACCTCCCTGTGACAATCGCGGATTGGTGCTGGGAGAGGGACTGGCTCTTGGTTCTCACCCGCTGAATGCACTAAAGCCTCTGTTCCAAGTGATTAATCAGAGTTTCTGTGTGAGTGAAACAAGCACCTGGCTCTGTGCTCGCTGCCGTGACGTTGGGCCGGTGCTGGGGGATGTTTCTCCCCAGCAGGACTGTGGGGACTGTCCCCGTGTCCCCTCTCCTGTCGTGACTCCGAGCCCGTGTGAGCTCTGGTGACAGCAGCAAAAACAGGCGAGATCTGCTTAATTGCTGAACTCAATCACTCCAAAGTGCTAATTGCTTCCTTTAACTCAGCTTCCACCAAAGACTCTTGTGCTGGGCAGTTGGATTTTTGTGGGTTTTTGTTTCTTTCCTGGTGGTGTTAAATTGATGCCTTCAAGCACACTGACAGACCCCAAAGCATTTTTACAGTAATATCATGGCAGTGAAATCCTGCTCCAGTTCTGAAACACATTCCTGAAATCTGAGCAGCTGCAATAGCGTTTCTAGAAATATCCCACGGCCTGTAGTTTCTGTGGTAGGGGGGTAAATACCCTGAGACACACCTGGAAATATTCCCTGTGGAGCTCGAGGGATAATGCTGATCCTGATCCCGTGGCTCCAAAGGGAGGGGGTGGGAGGGAGGGCAGGGGTCTCGCTCTGGGGTGGGATGCAGCAGGTGGAGCATCCCACACACGGAGTCTGGTGCTGGGACAAACTCCACTGTGTCCATCAGGAGCCGGGAATGGCTGTGGTCCTCAGGGTGACAACAGTGACACATGGTGACAACAGTGACACATGGTGACAACAGTGACACACAACAGTGACACACAGTGACAACAGTCACACACGGTAACACACAACAGTGACACACAACAGTGACACACGGTGACAACAGTGACACACAGTGACAACAGTCACACACGGTGACACACAACAGTGACACACAACAGTGACACACAACAGTGACACACGGTGACAACAGTCACACAGGGTGACAACAGTCACACCGTGACACACAACAGTGACACACAACAGTCACACAGTGACACACGGTGACAACAGTGACACACAGTGACAACAGTCACACACAGTAACACACAACAGTGACACACAACAGTGACACACGGTGACAACAGTGACACACGGTAACACACAACAGTGACACACACAGTGACACACGGTGACAACAGTGACACACAACAATGACACACAACAGTGACACACGGTGACAACAGTCACACACAACAATGACACACGGTGACAACAGTCACACAGCGACACACGGTGTCCCACGGGCCGCGTTCCCCCACTCCCCTCTGTCCCCCCTGCCTGGAAGATCCCTGGGCTCAAGTTTTGCACTCCGCTTGGGATTGTCTGTTCCTGGTAATCATGAAGAAATGTTCCACTTGTAAACTTCTGTACATTTTATTAAAACTGTATCTGATGACAGCCACCGTCTCTGTTGTGCCTTCCTTGGAAACTGGGTTTGAACGAGTTCTTCCTACGGAAGTGCTGCCTGGGTTTGGCCATGCTGTTTTATCTGGCAGCTGTAAAGTCAAAGTGATCTTGCAGCAGAGGATGTTTCGGTTTCTATTCCAGAGAGAACCTTTCCTATGCAGGGCAGGACAGAGCCCTGAGGCCTCCCTGCGCAGCTGCTGCTCCTCAGCGCTCTTCGTGCAGGCCCGGTGCCATGTGCAGCCTGTGTGCTGATCAAACCTTCGGCTGCCAAGGCTCTGTAATGCAAAATATGACTTGGGCTTTGCTGTACTTCTCAGTTTAATTTCTGTCTTGGTGTAAATGTCCATTGTTTCTGTGCTGCCCTGTGGCTCTGCACAGCTCCCTGGCAGGAGGGGCCGGGCTCTGCTCCCAGGAACAGGGACAGGAGCGGCCTCAGGCTGGAAACCGGCAAAATTCCTTCCCAGGAAGGGCTGCCCAGCGCAGTGCTGGAGCGCTGTCCCCATCCGGGGGGATTTAACAGCCGCTAAATGTGTTAAAGTGTGTGGCACTCGGGCACACGGGTCAGCGGCGGTGCCGGGAGCGGTGCCGGGAGCGGTGCCGGTCCTGCAGCACCGGGAGCGGTGTCTGCGCTGGCCCCGGAGCCCGTCCCGTCCCGATCGCCTCCGCCATGGCCGCCGTTCCCCTCAGGCGCTGCCGCCAGGGGGCGCCGCCGCGCG